GCTAATTAATATAATGGTGTATTACAACTTTTGGATGAACTCCAAAGGAATGTGTCTTCGCTATAAGAGGGAGCAAATTTCTTGAAGATATGGTGAGTAGGAGAGGTGAAGATGAAAACAGATGTCGAAGTGTCAAACACGAGGGATCGAGTGGTTCAAATATGATGTGTGCTCCTTTGTTGTGGACATTAAGCCATCTCTCTCGTCAAAGATGAAATAGAGCAATGTTTTACTATAGTTTTTGGTTTCTTCTTCGATATGTTCCTCAAGTTGGTTGAATGGGGTAGAAAGGTTCATAACGAGAAAAATTGTAAGGAAACTAAAAAAAATCAAATTTAAAAATGCAACATGTTTTGGTGACCTGCTAAAGTGATTTGTGCAGGACGTCACTGGTTATTTTTAGAAGAAGCCTTGATAACTTAGATTATATTACAATTTTTTATATTTGGGATAAATGTGGTTAAGAGTTGCGACCATTAATATGATTTTTTCCTAAACATCAATGGTTGATTTAAATATATTCATTCAAAACTCCAAAATCAAATTGGGATTTTAACTTTGTGACCAACAAGAATATAAATTTCTTTTATTTCCCACCCATCATAGACATATAGACTAAATCACATTTGCGTGACCAGATCGGGGATTTTTTAAAATTATTTTGTATATGTATAACCCTTTAAGATAATGTCGAACAAATAAACACTTGATTTTTTTTGTTATTTTTTGTTTGTGGGGGACTAGGGGTGGCAGCGGGTCGGATTTTCACCGGGTGGAGGCTCATCCACGTCCACCCGTTAATTTTTTATACTCCACCCATCCGTCCATCATCCATTAAAAATTACATCCACATCCAACCCATCCATCTTGAACGGGTTATCGGGTGGATCGGGTGAGTAGCGGGTGAAATATAAATGGTCAAACTTGACACACAAAAAATAAATTACAAAGAGAAATCATGACAATTAAAAACCAAAAATTAAGAATTCATTATAAAATAAAAAAAAATGAGCAATTAACTATATTACAATCATTAATTCAGTGCCGATGATAAAGAAAGAACTGAATGTTAAATAAAATAGACATAAAACTTCTTCAAGTTGTTAAATTCTGCTTTTATGCATCGACACAAAACTATTTTTGCTATTCAACTGCCACTTCTTGAAGCTCTCTAATCATCTTTGTTTCACCAATTAACTATTATTATTATTATATATTACTAAATAGATATAATATATATTATATATTACGGAGTATATATTTATATGCGGGTTAGCGGGTGAGTGGATGGAACGGGTGACGGGTCGGGTGATGGGTTGGATGAGCCTTCATCCACACCCGATCCACCCCGTCTTTCGATCCACCCGTCATCCATTTTTCATCCATACTTCTTCGGGTTTTCATCCATATTTTCGGTTCGGGTTGACCGGGTATCCGCGGGTGCGGGTGATATTGCCAGCCCTATGGGGGACCAAGAGTGTGTTAAGTGTAGAAGGGGTCTCTTGACATATGAAGACGTGAAAAGGAAAGGGCGCGTCATGCACATGTATAAAGAAGCTTTTTTGGGCAGATTTGTAGGCTCATACCAAGAGCGCATTTCTATTACTCACATAATGCTTCATTTCTTCACTCATAGCGTGTTCTCTCTCGTGAGTCCTGATCTAGTCCAACTCATTATCAATTAAGATTATAGCGCATATCTTATAAAAAAATCATTAGTACCACGTCAAGTGCGTTCATCTCGTGCCCCTCACCCCCTCCAACTCTCACAACCCTACTATAATGACATCCACGTTTTTAGCCCGCTCTTTGCTTTACTTATTTCTTTACTAATTATCTGTCAGCGCGTTACACAAATAATAATTGGAATTAACTTTTCTGAAAACATTTCTTTTTGTAAGTAGTGTCTATGTGTGTAATTATTGTAAAAAAAATTGAACACAATATAAAAATTTAGGAAAAATTGAAAATAATAATCCAAACTATTGCCGGTCCGCTGAAAATAATCCCAACTATTGATTATTTTTGTATAATCCCAACTATATAGACTATCCGCCAATAATGGTCCATGACCAGATATTACCTCTATAAAAACTGAATTTTAAATAAAAATTAAGCGTAAAAAATAAAAGTTGAGATTATGTATAGGGATTACTTGTTATATCTCAATGAGATAATCTCATCTCATCCACTTTAGAAACTACAAGAATTTATTCATAGGACCATTATTGGCGGAAGGTCCCTAAAGTTGGTATTATTCTGGAATAATCAATAGTTGGGATTATTATGAGCGGACCGCCAATAGTTGGGATTATTACTATCAATTTTTCCAAAAATTTATTGGGACTACATGTAAATTGTAGTAATTAATATAAAATTACTCAATAAACATTCTTCCATCTTTGATATTTCTTGCCTAGCAAAGATGATTATAATTAAGATAATCTTATATTTTTATATCATTCAGAAATAATTTTAATGACTAGTCTATACATTATTTTTACTATCTCTCGGATACTTAGTAAATCAAACTATTACAAAAACTTAAACCTTTTATAAAAAGGTAAATTGTATCTAGGACGAGAGTTCATCATGCTCTGTAATTTCTTAATATGGCTCATCCATATGTGGGAATATTTACTCAATAATATCTCCCTTCATCCGCCTGTCTTAAAATAATTACGAATATAAAAATATGGAAAAATTTTGAAATTAATTTTAAATAAAATCGGTATTAACCACACCATTTTCCATAAATGAAAAGAGAAAATATTACGGAGTATTACTTAAGAAAACATGAAGATAATCTTTTGTTTCAGTTATGAATACATGTTGGTTATGCAATATTTTCTCTTTAAATGTATATCCTTAAAATTTCCCTGTCAAATTTTCTCATAAAAATGTTATAAGAAAACATGTGCCTCTAATGTCGTCTCACCTAATTAAATTCAATTCTACCATTCTTTTCCAATGTATTAAAAAAATCAATTCTTTGAATTGATTATTTTTATTTACCAATTTTTATTTTTGAATTAGTACAACCACTTAGCTACACTTGGGTGGATCAAGTAACTATTGTGTGCGTTTAATATATTAATGGATAGACATGATATATTTAAACGGACACAATCATTTATATATTATTTTGTAGGTGATATTTAGTATTTATTATTATTTATTATTATTGTCGTTGTTGTATTGTACTTTATACTTTTGTATAAAACACAAAACCCCAGATTCATCATTTCTGCAATAAAATCAAATAGTTTTGTATTTTTGTTTCTCGATTCGTCATGCTTGCATATGGCGCAGTGCTTTGCGGTTTTATATTTTTAAATGAAAATAATTCATTTCTTTTTTTAAAAAATAATTCATTTCTCTAACTTCATTTTCTTGTCTGTAAATGAATAGGCATTTTTATGTCCCTAATGTTTTTTTTCAATTATTTCTATGTATATTTATTGTCTTTGTTCTTCTTCTTAAATTGTTTTATTTACAACTTATAAGTTGTTACTATTAATTTAATGCTAAACAATATTTTAGTGTTATTAATTATAGAATTATTAAATGTATTCTTCATTAATACTTCACAACACGAAGTACACATTGAGGGGCCATGATAGAGAGTAAAACCTAGTCTTTCAATTTATTCTTTTCTCTCAAAAATGGAAAAATGTCTCTTTAGTTGGTGCTTTCAATTCATTCTCTATATTTCTTTCTTAGCAATGTCTAGAGTTTTTGTGTTCCTTATCGAGGTAACCAAGTTAAAATTACGATAGAAAGATAACGCTTGATTGAATCTCTTTTTTGTGTCTGGTCAAATTGATCATTCCGCCAACTGTTATATTCCTTGGGATATTTATACAAATTATTCTTAATGTTAATAAATAACCATGTTTCCTCTAATTTACTCCCGCTGTATTAAAATGTTTGCTACAATAGAATGTGGCATGATATTAAAGCGAAAAGTAGTAGGGGTAATGTATAATGTAGAACAGGTAGTGGAAAAATATGAAATAGAAGAAAAAATAGAAAAAAAATGAGGGTATATTTAAAGGAAAAAACTTAACAAAAAAATGTAGCAAAAAAGTATAATATATCTAAAAAAGAAAGTGTGACAAACATTTCAATAGAAAGGGGTATATATACATGTGTGTGTTTAAAGTTGTTTTTATCTTATCCGTTTAAATATGATATATTTTGAATTAATCTGATTTACTCTGATAGAAGTCAAATATAATTAGATTTGGGTCTGAAACTTGGCCAGTTAAAAAAATTAACTTATGAGAATCAAAGAAATCAAAAGTATTATGTAGTACTATATAGTTACTACAGAGTACAATATAGTATCTATAGTAATTGAAATTTAACTATATCGTTTTAGTTTAATTATATCAATACAAAAATCTAGGGAAAAGGGGCAAATAAGTCCTCGAACTAATCAAAAAAGTGCAAATCAGCCCTTTTGTAGGAGGTTTCGTCTGTCTATCGTCATTTGGGGAGGTTCCCGGTGGAATTTTTTGATGAAATTTTTTGAGCATCTTACTCATTAAGTCTAGTTTAGTCATACCGAATTTCAGCTAAAAAATCAATCGGGAAGACAGTCAAATGAATTTTTGAAGATAACTGCGCAGTTAAACAACGCAGTGTAGTTCCGAAAATCATTTGATTGCCTTCCCGGTTGAATTTTTAGCTGACATTTGATATGGCTAAACTAGACTTAATGAAGAAGATGCTCAAAAAAATTCATCAAAAAATTTCACCGAGAACCTCTCCAAATGACGATGATCGGACAGAACCTCCTACAAAAGGGCTTATATGCACTTTTTTTATTAGTTCGAGGGCTTATTTGCCCCTTTTTCCAAAAATCTAAGCTATGTGAATGTAATACAGAGTATAAAGGTGTGAACAAGTGTGGTAAAAAAAGAGTCCTTCTTGTTGTACCCACTTTTGTACACATATTTATACATTTGCATGTTACAAGGCGAAATAAAGATGGGTACAAACATATTTTTTTGAAAAAAAAAACTATAGAGCCTATAAAATCCCTGTCAACCCTTCAAATTCTGCTTCATTCTCTTCCCTTAATCAGCTACAGTAGCTCATCTGTTAAATCTCTCCCATTCAAGATACGATGGTTACAAATTTTCAGAGCTTATTAATAAACAAATCTTCCTCCTCCTCCTCTTCGAACGAAGAAGAGACGAAGTTCGGTTCAGAGCTAAGAAAGGGGCCATGGACGCTCGAGGAAGACACCCTTCTCATCAATTACATAGCTGAGCATGGCGAAGGCCGCTGGAATGTTTCTGCCAAATGTGCCGGTGAGTATTCTGAAGTCTGAACCAACCAATTTCATCGCAGGCTGGAAGAAATGCAGAATTTGGTGATCTGGTTTAATGGTTTTGATGATAATTATTGTTTGTGCAGGGTTAAGAAGGACAGGGAAGAGTTGCAGGCTGAGATGGCTTAATTACCTGAAGCCAGACATTAAGCGCGGAAACCTTACTCCCCAGGAGCAGATCTTAATCCTTGAGCTTCATTCTAAATGGGGGAACAGGTAGATTGTTTCTTCAATTTCTGATTTTGAACGTTTTCATGGCCAGTTTGTAACTATGGAAGTACTGATGAAAAATTTTATGGGAGAAAATCAATTGTTTTCTCAAACTCAATAAATTTAAGACCCCGTATTGATCTTTTAAAGTTTATTATATATTCAATGAAAATATGAAATTCAAATGCTTCTAAAAATTAACATTAATCGAATTCATTTTCCTTAGCATTTTCAATAGTTAAACACTTAAACTTAGAACCAAATTGAATGCAAGTAATTTTGTTTAGTAGGAGGATTTATATTTTTTAGAAGAGTTGTTTTCTTATGTTTGCCCTTGTGCCCTTGCCATAGAAAATTAAACATACCCAATAATATTTTTTGAATAAAAAATGTGACTAGTAACTAGAGTAGCAATGCAATCAGAGTAACTTATGTTTTAAGTTTTAAACTAAAATTACCATGATATTAGAATGTAGTATAACTATTTGTCATATTTATGTAAATAAGTTTTATTTTGATAATATTTTTTTAAAACGCTCTTATATTTTTATATATTTAGATTTTTTATTCTTTGTATAATAAATTTAAATCCATAAAATGAGTTCAGACAATGTCTATTAAATTTATTGACCTTGAATCTTTCTTTTGTTTGTTTCCAAAATTTCTTTCCTCTTAAGTTTCCTCCAAAAGAACCTTATGCTATGTTTGGGTCTGGGAACTTAAAACGTTACATAAAAGAAAGAAAATACTAACCGAACTTGCTTGCTTATGTTTGGGTTTACCTAAGAAAAGAGAGAAATAAATAGATACAATGTGATTAATTTTTAAAAATTCTTTATTATATGCGTTTATATCGTTAATATTTATATACTCCGTAAGCCATATGAACAAAAAAAATTAATAAAAAAAAGTATTGAGTCTGAGCTGATATTTTTATTTTCACAATTATTTTCTTTCCTTCTAAATTTCTCTCTGCTTTCTTTAGCTAGCCTTTTCACTTTCAGCGCTCCAGAAGAATCATTCAGGTTCTCTTATTTAACAATGTTTGTTTTGGTGGGATGCATTTGATTGTATTATTCGATAGGTGGTCAAAAATAGCGCAGCATATGCCAGGAAGAACAGACAATGAGATAAAAAATTACTGGAGAACAAGAGTCCAGAAACAAGCTAGGCAGCTCAAGATTGACTCAAACAGCAAGAAGTTCATTGAAGCTGTTAAAAAGTATTGGATGCCCAGATTGGTTGAGAAGATAGAACAGCAGCAGAACACTTCTTCTTCTTTGAAGACTTTGATGTCCCCCTCCTCCACCACTTCCTCCTTATTCTCTTCTTCTTCGTCATCCACTCAACCTATCACCACAGAAATGCCCAACTCACTTGTTATTACTTCCCCATCATCCCCCAATCAGGAAACATATACTTGTACTCCTCCAGCAGTAATAACCCAAGAAACCGGCAAAACAGACAACTGCAATGAGGTAGAAGATGACTGTTACCATGTGCAAATAATGGAAAATAATTCTTGTTATGATGCTGATGAGGCTTGCTTTGGCAACTACCCCGCCTCCATGTCAGCATTCGACTCGCGAGATGTTTCCTTGCTGGGGTGCCAGATGGGATACGACGACTGGTTCGGTGATGAGGTGGTAGATTTCTTGTGGGGACAATGATGATTATGCTAGTACATCCTCTCATTGTTAGTTCAATACCAAAAGTGATGACGAAGAATGACGACTCCAAATTAATTAACTAATTAATAGAAAAGCTAAGAAAGAGTTGCATAAATATGTGGTTATCCAAACACAACTCTGTTAATAATGTCCACTAGTGCATGCATAAGTGCATCACAGTGGCTATGGATATGCAAGTGTTACTAATTAGCTTATGTAGAGACTGGTAGTTTCCAACTATTACCAAGACTTGACTTTTTGGTTGATGAAAAAAAATCAAATGTACATCATGTAAGACAAACAATGAAATTAAAGTATGTATGCTGCATACGGACAGTAACTATGATTGGCATTTGTATATCTGCAAGTATTATTTTTATGTACAAATGTAATTTGTTTTCTCCACACATTTAGTGCATAGTTAGTTAAGATACAAATACTCGATATCATCCTCGTTGTTCACGTGTATGTATAAATATACAACTGCTCCGACATTATCCAATCTATTATTTTGTCTATAGCCACCACTCAATAGACATTGGAGAAACATCCCCTCACATATCCAAGTACTTCTTGTGGCCACATTATCTCGCTCAAAACGACTTTAGCTTGTGCACAAAAAGGATTTCGCTTCGTCACCGCATAGCTTATTGAAATATATATGCCCTTTATGAAGCCTTGGCTCTCACACAGAATCGATTCCTGAGGAGGTTCTTGTTTTAGATGTCCTTAATGACCTAGATTCAGAATATGGTGAACTTATATCGGCCATCCTAGATTCCTAGTTCGCTCAACAACTTTTTCTCTTGTTGAACTCAAGGATATCCTCCTAGAGCATGAGACTTGCCTACAAGCTATGACAACAAACATTTTTCTTTTTTCCACGGTCAATACGACTCAATCCGGGGAGCGCTCATACTCCAAAAACGATCGTCGATCTCTAACTAGCGGTGATCAATGAGGTTCGTTCATCCATCGAGGCCATGGTGGTACCAACTTTTCTCACATATGTTCCTCATCTAGCTCTATTGTGTGTAGGTTCTGTGAGAACCTCGTTCATGATGTCAAGCAATGCAGGAAATTACAATGTCTCCTCTAAGGTTATTAATTACCTCATCCATCTACTTTGTTTGTTCATCATACTGCGAGGACGTCTGCCTCTTCGAGTGGACGTCTGCCTCTTCGAGTGAACTATGATTGTTTGACGGTGGGGATTCACATCATGTTACTACAAATGCTTTCATGCTGCCACTTCGTGGGAATTGATATTTTCAATGGGAAGAAGCTCGAAGATATTGTTCCTTCATCTCACAATTGTGACGTTCCACATGTTGATCATGTTGACTATCAGCTTATTGACATCTCTGAAGATGGTTTTGTCTCTCTTCTAACAGAAAGTGGAAGTACCAAAGATGACCTGAAGCTTCCCACAGATGAGGTTATGTTAAAGCATATCAAAGATGGATTTGGGGAAGGGAAGGATCTTATAGTGTCAGTCATGGCTGCAATGGGAGAAGAGCAGATTAACGCAGTGAAGGATATCAGTGGTGATGGTCCTAAATAGTGAAAAGCCAGACAACCTTTTATACATTTAATATATCTATAATTAAGGGAACCAGGCAGTTCACTTGAATTGTTTGTTATTTCCAAGTTTAGTGATGAGTCAAGACAGCTCAGTTGAACCATGCTTTTGTGTATTGAAACCCTTGTAAAAGGTCCCTTCTGGTGACCCTTGTGTGAAGGTTTTGCTCCTGCATCAGCAGTTGAAAATTACTTTTTTTGTCATTTAAAAAAATGCTTTCATGTTGCCATCATATATATCATGGTGGTCCTGAGCGAGTTCACCTTCGCTATAGTAAGTCGTTATCACTCACTCGCACTAATCAAACCATCTCTCATCATAACTTATCTCCATTTAATAAGATGTTTTTGTGTTCTGTTCACAAATATGTAGTTTTCATTGCTAAACTCTGCAAAAGTAATCATATTTCTATCAAATTGTTTCGCTCTCTTTTTCTTGTCCAGGAGAGGCTCACGCGGTGTCACTATTGTGTGGGGAGAACCTTATTGATGTTTAGTACGAACCTCTTTCGAGTCCACTATAAGTTCACTCTACTCGAGTTCGTTGGCCGCCACCTTGACATCATATTTTCTGTCACCCATCTCATCATTTCTTTACCAAATTAATTAGTCAGAATAAGAAACAGTTTCATTCCCATGTGGCAAATGATATTTGTTGTAACTATTGTTTAATTTTAATTCATTCAAGTACAAATTTATTGTTCTTTAGAAATTCTATGAATGTCACTCGTCCGTTAAAATTACTTAATTCTGATGTATGGTGTACTACTGATGTGTCTCTAGATGGTCACAAATATTATGTCATTTTTGTTTACTTTTACACTATTTTGTTGCCTAGTTATTTTTTTTAATAACTCATACCTCATCGTAGGTTATCTATTGTTGTTGTTGTTGTACCCATTATTTCTCATTTTTTCAACAATAATGGGAAATATATTAAAATTGAGTTCTACCTAATTCTACATGGAATACGACATTTTACAACTCTCCCACATACCCCGTAACACAATGGTGTCGTTGATCATTAACATCAACACATTGTTGAAACCGGTCTCATGGAAATCCATTATGCTGGCTTAACTTACCTATTACCTACTCACGATGTGCCTGTTAAACAGCGTTGTACCTTATCAATTTCCTTGTTAACCCTGTCCAAAACAATGACACTCCCTATTTCCGACTTTACCAAACTCCTAACTATATTGAACGTCACAATGTCACCTTTTTGGTTGTTTGTGCTAACCATGGCTACAACCCTACAACTCCACAAAAACTCAACTCTGGTCTTAACCATGTGTATTTATTGGATACTCTACATCTCAACCTGCCTATTTTTGTCTTGATCGTACTTGTGGTCATGTGTACACTACTCATCACGTCCAATTTTCCCCATCTCAATTTTCTTTCTGTGTTCTGTCACCCTAAGATACCCCAAGTCCCGTATGAAATATCTTACTCTTGACTTCTTTGATTGTGATATTGTGGTACGGTGCAAGGACAGTGGAAGGTCTATCATACCTCTACTAAGCTCCATATTGCTGATATTTTAACAAAGTTGTTAACTCGCTCTTCATTTGAATGCTTCTGACTCAAGCTAATAATTTCCAACTAAACTTTCATCTTGTGGAGTGTGACTATTATTTAGCATGTGTATTTTCTGTGCAAATGTATTTTATTTTCTCCACACTTTTAGTGCATAGTAGCTAGGATAGAGATAATCGCATTTGGACTTCTTTAGTGTTCACGTATATATATGTATAAATAAATATACTAGTGTAAATGATTTCAATCAATGAGAATAATTATATACTCTTCACTACATTGTTATGTGTTTCCTTTGTGTGGGTCATTCTAATACTCTATATATGCGAGAGAAAATGTTGTGAAAGATATAAAATACTCTTTAAACAGTAGAAATTGTATGAACTAAAAGAGTATTTAAAATCTTTAGGTGGGTGAGGATTCTAGATCCAATGGTGGAAAGGTACAATCCTCGTACGTAGCTGACTCATTTGTGAAAACTAAAAACAAGAGAGCCTCAATGGTTCTGAAGTTCAAGTGCAAGGAACTTCAAGAGAGCATAATGATACGGGGCTGAAATTCTAGTGTAAGGGTTAGGTCTATCAATGGGTCGGGTCTCAGTCGGAACATAGTGCTTCAGACCCATATCAAGGAGTCAGGTCTCAACCGGAACATAGTGAGTCAGACCCAAACTTGTTGATTTAATTATGATTTCATAACTGGTTTGCATACCCAGCGGGTCTGAAATTATTATTTCAAACCCGGATCCATCGGGTTCGGAAATCAAGTGTGGTTGTGATACCCCCGGAAATTATACTCTCTGTCTCGAAATAAGAGATCTCTTTTTTTGCAAGAAAATAAGAGTTTTCTTAGTTATACTGAAATTGATTTAATTAGTTGAATCTACTGAAATTGTTAGAATTATGAAACGACAAAATTGGTTCAATCTATCGAATTATGAAATTGATTTAATATATACAAAGTATTTTATTGATAAAAATATTTATATGAAAAAACGAAACTAGTCATACTCATACTCAACAACTTTAATTGTTTGATTATTGAGTAATTCAGTGCGTGGAATGAATATTTTAATATATAAAAAATATATTATAGATTTAACTAATAAAGTTTTTTAGAACTAACTAATAAAGTTGACGAATAGAAAAATGAGTTTCCAAACGGTTTCTTCATTTGGCAAACCTTGCGGCTTGGCTGCCTCATTCAATTGAAGGAAGCCTAGGAATTATGACAATTATTGCTTGATTAATGAAGATCAAACCTGACTGTAAGACTCCATTCTTGTGTCTCCCATGCAGAATCAGTGGGCTTAATTGGGTCAACGTGATGCAGTGATCCAAACTATCTGATGGTGACATCAATGCTCAGAGATTCTGGGTAGATATGAAATCCAATTGAATTGTTCTTCTCTTATGGTAGTGTCGAATTTGTTCGATTTATGACGGTTCTTTCTTGGGAACTAGTGCTCCGGGGTGGTTGGTCTCTCTCGATGTGGGGAGTTTTGTTGGTGTCCCAACTAGCTTCGTCCGGACAGGGGTTTCTGTCAGCCTTCTTCCAGAGTGAGTAGACATTGGTAAAACTCATCCTCTTTCAGAACCACCTTCGTGTCATGAAGAGTTTTGTAGAAAGACTTTTTTTCAATTCTATTTTTCCATTAGTAGTACTTCTTTTTATTTTAGTTTCAGTAGGTATGGTTTGGAAGTTTGGACTTCCGGCATGCGTTTGATAGGCAGTGTTTCAGTCCCAATTGTTTCATGCTTTAAATTGTCTCTTGTGTCTAGCGAATCGGGTTATTTTTATGAGGTGACTGATTCTATGTTTATTTTCAGTGCTCACCATAGAATTTGTCATAGTTGTCTAGATGTTATCTTGTATCGTTCCTCAATTTTAATATAGAAGTCGATCCTTTATATTAAAAAAACGGTTTCTTCAATTTTTGAAAAGAAATGAAGGTTGATCATTATTTCACATTTTCTATTCAAATATCAATTTACCTTTCATTATTCAATTACTTTTTCAATAAGTATCTCAATTTTAGATAAAAATATGGAGAATGTGTTTGTAGAGGTGTAATCTATTTAATTAGGTTAACTGCAACTCAACTCCATCAACAAATCAAATTCTCTATTAGTTTTTCCTGCAATCTAACACATTCAATATATTCACCCAATAAGATTTTTTAATTAAAGTATTAATCTAATTAATACGATAGTATATATTATATTCGTTCCTAAAAACTTTGTCATTTCATAAAATTTGAATCATGATTTTGATTAGTATAATATTATGGAA